GAAAGTGATTCACACTTTTTGACCACAGATTGGATTCTCTGGTCATCCCTTCCAGTGATGACTACATTTGCGCCCAAAGACGACAACTTCAGAGCAATTGCTTCGCCGATACCCGAAGACGAGCCTTAAAAATGTTTTTAAAATAAGTTATCATAAAACAAAAAGGCCTAAAAATTTGGCACAATACCTGTTATTAATGCTACCTGTCCTTTAAAATCCATTTCAAAACTGACACCAATTTATCCGCTTTGTATTATTTATTTACAACACTAGATAACTATAGATACACTTTATCTGATTTAGTGTAACCTTTTGAAAATAATCTATAATAGGAATTAAGATAGTTTTCATATAAATGATTTTATTGTCATTGTTAATAATAGAGTATCAAACAAAAACTACAGACCACAATTTTATGAAATAATTTTTATAACAAATATATTTATACTTGCACAATTTTTAAAATATTTAATATTCTGGAATAGAATATTCCGTTTTATATAATTTTGTTTTTATTATCATATACAACATGAACACCATGTGCTCAATGTACTTTACTTAAGTTTATTTATATACCAATAAATTTACAACTACAGCGTTTAAAGTAATGTAAATACAAATGCCATTAGTTAGACAATTGATTCAAGGTCTACAATAAATGATTTTATTTTAACAATTTTTTCTAAAAACTATTTTATATAATAGACAATTTATAGTTTTAGATGTTTTAATAAAATGTGTTTTATTCTTAAAGTATTTAATTCATAAAAAGAATAACCTTGATAACATTATTACGTTATTGAAAACATTATTACTTTTAAAATACAGTATAATAAGTTTCTAGTATTGTTATAAAAATTGTATATCAAATGTTACCGTAATAAAATAATTTATTAATTTTGTTTATAATATCATATCCTGTATATTTATGCATAATTTAGAATGAAAATAAACGGGATAAATTATTTAAAGTTATAGCCTATAATTGATAGCTTATAATAATTCTAATTGATTTTCAATAAAATATAAATAATTATAATAATAATAAAATATACTGAATATGATAAAAGGGATTATTATTTGATAAGATTGGGATTAATATTAGATTCTCCGGAGTGGACACTCCCGCCATCGATGGGAATGAGAGTTCCCGTCACGAAGGAGGACACATCAGAGGCCAGGTATGCCACCAATTCTGCCACGTCTTCCGGTTCACCGATACGTCTCAAGGGATAAGTGGTTTTGCAGAGATTTTCCACGAAATCCAACATTTGCTCATTTTTGGTGCACAGATTGAATATAGGGGTCCGGATGGCAGCGGGACTGGAGGTTATTATCATTATGTTTTGTTTGACACAATAATATATTTTATATTATATAAGTTATAGTGTATTGTATATAGTGTACAATTAAATATATTCATTTTAACTCACTTGACGCTATTCACACGAATGCCTCTGGGCCCCAAATGTAGTGCCAAACACTTTGTAAACATGTCCAGGGCACTTTTAGCCATACAGTAAGCCATTGTGTCCGGGTTCTACAATTATTTGTTAATTAAATTAAATTTATAATCTAAAAATCATTTGACAGCACTTACGGGTCTAAGTCCGGCGATACTCGAGATGTTAATAATGTTTCCTTTGGTTGACTCGAGATATGGAACCACTAATTGAGTCAATACTTGAATACTCCGGACATTAGTGTTCATCACTGTATCAAATGAATCTAAATATCCCGGGTCTTCAAATTTGGTGACACAGCCCACACCAGCGTTATTCACGAGAATATTTATTTTTCCAAACTCTGCGATAGTTTTTTGTACCAAATCCTTGACTTCATTGTCGACCATTAAGTCAGACCTAACTCCCAGTGCCTTCTGTTTGGAAAGTGATTCACACTTTTTGACCACAGATTGGATTCTCTGGTCATCCCTTCCAGTGATGACTACATTTGCGCCCAAAGACGACAACTTCAGAGC